AAGCCTGTGTCTAGAAAATAGTTAGGGTTATTAATAGAAGCAGAGCTTGAAGTGCTGTTTTGGTTTTTGCCTTTCATGAAATGGACTGGAGGCTGAATGATGAAAGGATCTTGAGGTGGATGGATGTTATACTCACATGTGCTTTGTTTTCCCAGGTTATTCCTCTGCTCCTCCAACCTGCTTTTTCTTTTGTGGAAATTTCTCATCTGCACCGTATGGAAAAAACCAAATTCAGTCTCTGAAAGGTGTGGAATTCTTCGCAGTTAATCCTGAACATTAAATTAAAACAGAGGTGGTAAAACTATTTAAAAAGGCAGAAAAGAAGTGCAGTGGTTTTGCTTTGCTGAAGTGTACAAGTGATCTGTGTCATGTGTGTTTTTGCTCTAACCAAGTTCTGCTTCATAGATACTTTTTTTCTGGCTCTAGGTTCCTTGAAGGCTCTTGCAGATATAATATGTGAATATCCCAGCATTCATAAAAGGTATACAATGAAGTGCTGTGTGGGTGGCAGGGAGAATGTGCTTGTTTTGGAAAATTTTGCTTTAATTACTTAAGAAATGAACAGATACCATGTTTTCCCATTTTTGTGAGCCAGCTGTAATCAGGTTACAGGCCTGTAAGATTGCTTGGGGGTCGGTGTAAGGCATTGATTCTAGCTAGAACAGTTTGGTCATGGAAGCTGCCCATTGAGTCAGCAAAGGTGAACCTGCCTTTCCTGGGAGCATTTCCCAGATAGATTGAACATGGCCCACAGTTCTCCAAAAGCTCTATTTGAGTGAGGCTTTTTTTCCTCCAAAATTCCCTTGCATTCAGCAGGGATCTGCCCATGCAGTACTCCTTAATAAACTGATGTCCAGGTCTTGATGCTGCTGGCAGCAGCTGCAGGCTTTCTGTACCAACCCCGAGAAATGTCATCTGAAACACTGCCTGCTCAGAGCTTCTTGTTTCTGCCTTCCTGTTCTTGCCTGCATGGTTCTCCACAGCTGTTAATTTGAGAGCCAAGCAAAACAACACTGTCTTGAAGGGGGATGGATCCATGGATCCTTTATCCGTCTCTTCTCGTGTCCCTGCTCGGTGGAAGCTCCAGAACTGAATACTGTCTACAGATGTTTGAATATACAAAGGAAAGAAAAACAGGGAGGCAGCCAGGCTTATCATTTCTGGCTTCTCACCTTTCAGTTCCTAACAGTAGCCATGAAGCAGAGCTAGTTCCTAGGATGGGCTCCCAGAGCAGTCATTTCTTAAATATAAGAGTTCTCCCACTTCAGTGCGGGATGGATATGAGCCTTATGATTCAGTTGTGATGAAAGTTGTTCATAAGGCCTGAAGGAACTGTCAGCTTTGCCATGGGATATGTTACTTGTGTTCATCTGTGAAATTGTGGTAGTACATAACCAATGGTTAGATACTCCTAGGATTATTTTATATGAAAGCAATGTGTTTAAACTTATTGCAGTAGTCGATTTGTGTTTGTTCCTGGCCCTGAAGATCCTGGTCCTGGCTCTGTTTTACCACGGTCAGTTTGCTTCACTTTTTACATTTTGAAAATTTGAATTAAATAGTTAAAGAAAGTAAGAAATTTGTGTGATTCACATGTTGCTACTTATTTTAGACCTCCTCTGGCTGAAAACATCACTCAGGAATTCAGGCAGCTGGTACCATTTTCAGTTTTCACCACAAATCCTTGCAGGTAACAGTCTAACTTACTGAGAGTTTTCATGTTGGTTTTTTTCTTCTTTTTTTTTAACCAAATGACTAGTTTATGTGCAGATGTAGTGGTCTTAACAGTTTTAAATGAGGAGAATTCCTCACATTAATTGTAACTAATTTAAAATACATGAATATAGAAATAAATTAGCGATTACACCATCTTGAACAAAATGGTTTGGAAGTACTGCTGGAAGCTTAACTCAGTATAAAAAAAACCTCAAAAACATCTTTTTCTGAATCTGGAGGGAAAGAAACAAGATGAGAAGGTATTGTTTTAATTGAAACGCGTGTTTTCATTTTGCTGTATTAGAGTAAGATTAACTTTATAATACATCTTTCCATCTGTTAGCATTTCATTGTAATTCATTTAATTTCATTGATATTTTCATTTAGGATTCAATATTGCACACAAGAAATAATTATCTTCCGTGAAGATTTGGTAAACAAAATGTGCAGAAACTGCGTCCGCTTCCCTAGCAGCAGCATGGACATTCCCAACCATGTGAGTTCAGCACTTCTTGCTAAGTTCTTGATGACTTTTTTTTTTTTTTTTTTTGATCAGCAGGTCTACATTTGGGCTGCTTCTAACCTGCAGAGCTGCATATGTTTGCAAACTTCTTAGAATAACTAGGTTTCTTGAAAGAGTTGTGAGGAGGGATCTATCTATGTAGTAGTATTGCTTGCATTTATATCTTGATAGCAAGGTAACTGAAACCAGGATGCTTGTTGATGACATCAGGTCGTTCTGACTGTCCATTGCAGTTGTCCTTGAACTCAACTTCCTAGCAGCTGGCTGTTGGTGTGTATGCACAAGCAATGAACGTTGTACCACTAAACATTGATTCCTAAAGGCAAAGCTTAATACAAATTACCTTTCTAAGATTTGATCAGTTAACCAGTGACATTTGCAGTAAAGCAGCACATCACTTTTCCAAAAGGTCATCTGCTTCATCTGCCTTTTCACTTGAAGTCTTAATCCTGCTTTTGATACATAGACACAGCACTCTGATTCTAGTTAATCAGTGCACGGCAGTTGATGAGACTTACTGATATAAGTGAATGAGAATGATCTAGACAGTACTGGCTCATTGCTGTGATGGAAGGAGTCTGTTTCTATTTATTTTATAGGCTTTTTTTGTTTTTAATTTGTTTGACTTGGAAACTTCCTGTTAACTCTTCCTTCTCTCCATCACAGCAGTGCTCAGATTCTTTCTGTGCAGAGAGAACCCCGTTGTGGATTCTGATGCACCTGTCTTTCTATATGCATTTTTGCATACATATGTGTATGCTATAAACCTTGATTTACTCATACAGGGATTCCAGAATTCTGCCAGATGAAAATTAGAATTACAAGGGGGGCAGCTAGTCAGCAGAAGGTGTCACTTCTGCTGAAGGGAATCAAAAACACAACTTCAGCATAAAGACTGTAAAGTGTGGGTCTTGTGGTTAACTGGTATTGCAAGAAAAGCCCTGAGGAATAAAAGAAAGAACCAAAGGCTAAACACATACAGAAAATCTATGGCAGTGTTGGTATCTCCTGGGCTGGAGAAACAGATGAGCAGATTTTGCAGTTTGTGTATTAAAAAAGAAAACAAAACAAATCAGCAGCTAGCTGTTGTAGTGGAATCACTGCTTTGCTATAGAGAGCCCCACTAACCAGAGGGAGCAAGATGCATGAAAAATATTTCCAGGTTCGAAACTTCTCTATAGGCAGGACATCTGTAGGAATGAGACTGACTTACAGAATATGGTTCAGATGAACTCTCTGTGTTTATCTTGCAGTTTGTAAAGACCATATTATCACAAGGACACCTGACACCACTTCCACTGTATGTTAGCCCTGTGTACTGGGCCTACGACTACGCCCTGAGGGTATATCCTGTGCCAGATATGCTCGTCATTGCGGATAAATACGACCCCTTCACTGTCACCAACACTGACTGCCTTTGCATAAATCCTGTAAGATTTCCTTACGCTTTACAGAATAAGGCTTGAACAACCTTGAATTCATAAATAACTTTATTAAAATATCAGGAAAATTGATGATGGGTCAATTGCCAAAGGGAATGCAGTTACATAAGGGTAACTCTCTCTTACCATCTGTACAGCGTTATACTTAACACATTTGTGGTGTATTTTTCTTCACAGGGTTCTTTTCCAAGGAACGGGTTTTCTTTCAAGGTATTCTATCCCTCCAACAAGACAGTTGAAGACAGGTAAATATATTCATTTTATTTGCTGACTTTCTAGTTATCAGGAGGAATACAGAAAAGCAATTATATAAGCAGAACGAATGTTCTAGCAGTTAATGCAGCAGTGTAAGAAATTCAGAAGCCTAGACCTAAAATAAGACATGCAGAAGTTATGGTCAGGAAACAGTGATGAGAAACATGATCCAAAAGTAAACGGAAACATAGATTGTATTAAATGATTTTCAGTAACTGAGACCCAGTTGGGAAACAGATTTGTTTCTGAACATTATACTTGTTGCATGGGTTAATCACATGGTTCATTTGTGATCGTTCATTTGTGATTGGTTCATTTTGTGATCATAATCAAACTCAAAAGCCACTTTTATGATTTGATTTCATGTATTTTACACGTGTGCTTATTCATTCCTATTGTGGTCTTTGAACAGCTGAAAAAAAACAAACCAGTTCCAAAACCAGAAAAACACAAACTAAACAGTATCAAAACATTTACAACTGTGCTAAAAATTTCCATCTGTTTGAAATAACAGTGGTAGAACCAAATAGGAAAATTGCTGTTTGTCTTGTCTGCCTCTGATTCAATTTCATGTCTTGTTGCAGCAGCTTTTTGTCACACGGAAGCGTATAATCTTCCACATAAGGGATAAAAGAGATCTGTGTAATCTTTACTTGAATACAGAAATAATTGTACCGTGAGATGCTTTAGGTCTTTAGATAGATCAAAACATTATGAAGTCTTTCACAGATCACAGAATAGAATAATGTGGTATGTATTGACATTCCTTTTAACTAAACCTTTCTTTTGTTTGGTATTTTCAGCAAGCTTCAGGGTCTCTGACTTTCTACGAGACTGTAATGGGACTGAGCCTTTGTGAGGCCAACTGTAGCACTCGTTTAGATGGATTGATTTTATGATGTTTTGCAGGCTGTTCATAACAAATGTCAAAGCCAAGCTTATTTTGTACGAAAATAAACTTTTACACAAAAAATATGCTGCGTTTAGATAAAATTAATTTCCACAACACAAGAAAAGAAGGCACCTGGAAGAAGCAAGGGCTCGTATAGAAAACAGCTATTTTTTAGAAAGGAAGTGAAAAACTGTTTTTCCCTGTGCTGAGCTGAACTGAGAGCTAGTTCTCTGCTACCCACAGGAAGGGCGGCGCAGGCTGGGATTTGTTTTGGGCAGGAGAGGCGTAAGGCAGATTTGCCAGGGGTGACGAGTGCTGGCAGTGCACAGTGTTACTCAGCCAGGGAGAGGTGTAAGGAGACAGGGTGAAGTCGTTTGAAATTCATGCGGGAGCATCAGGACGTGCAGTGCTGATTTCTATACGTGGTATGGCCTGCACCAGTTGTGGTGGCCTGCGGAGTTCGCTGGGGCGCCATCTTGCTTGGCGTCGCCATAGCAACAGGCTGAAGGCGCCACCGCCATCTTGTTTAGGGTCACTATAGCAACAAGACCAGGGCGCCGCCATCTTGTTTAGCGTCGCCACAGCAACGCGCGCGGCGGGAGCGGAGCCGCCATCTTGTTTACCCGTCTCCACAGCAACCGGCGCGGCCATGGCGGGCCCGGGGCGGCTAGAGGAGCTGGAGCTGAGCTCCGAGGAAGCGGAGCGGCTGCAGCGGGCCTTCCGCGACGAGCGGTTCCGGGCGCTGTTCGCCGAGTACGCGGCGGAGCTGGCCGACCCGGAGCAGCGGCGGCTGTACGAGGAGGAGGTGACGGCCCTGGAGCGGGAGCGCGGCGTGGAGGTGCGCTTCATCCACCCGACGCCGGGCTTCGTGCTGCGCACCAGTCAGGCCGGCTCCCGCCGCTGCTACCTCAACATCTGCAGCAACCCGCACGTCGCCCCGCCGCAGGCCCGCGCCGAGCCGGGCGGCCACCGCTGGGCGCTGCCCCACAGCCTGGCGCCGGGCCGCGAGGAGCTGGGCCGGGCCGGCCGCCGCTGCTTCGTTTACGACGTGGTCTTCCACCCCGCCGCGCTCCGCCTGGCCGCCCGCAGCGCCCGCTTCCGCCGCCTGCTCAGCGACGCGGCCATGGAGGCCGTGGACAGCCGCTTCTCCGCGCAGCTCGACCGCGTCAACGCCTCCGTGCTCCGCGGCGCCCGCTACAAGGGCGTCCCGCAGGCGCCCGTCATCCGCTCCCCGCTGCCCGGCGGCGCCCCGCGGCCGCCCTCCGACGCCGCCCCGCTGCCGCCCCCACCCCCGCCCGGCCCTCCGCCCGCCGCTCCCCCGCCGGCCCCCGGCCCGCCGCCCGGCCCCACCACCCCGCGCTGGACCATCCGCCACCGCTCCTACGTGGACCTGCAGGACTACCGCCGCGACTCGGCGCCCGGCCCGGTGCCCCGGGAGCTGGTGGTGACGGTGGAGCTGCCGCTGCTCCGCTCCGCCGCCTTGGCCGAGCTGGAGGTCCGCCCGCGGGAGCTGCGCCTCGACTCCCGGCGGCCCGCCTACCGCCTCCGCCTCCGCCTCCCGTACCGCGTGGACGAGAGCGCAGGCCGCGCCGTTTTCGACAAGGCCGAGCGGCGGCTGCTGGTCACGCTGCCCGTCGTACCGCCGCCCGGCCCGGGGACGCCGCTCGGGGAGGCCGGCGGGGAGCGGCGGGAGGAGCCCCGGCCAGGCCCGGAGCTCCCGGACGAGCCGGCGGCCGCTTCCTCCTCTCCGCCCCGCTCCGAGGCCGCTTCCCCGAGCGCCGGCCCCGAGCCTGGAGCCGCTTTCCCCGCTCCGAGCGCCGGCTCCGAGCCGGCTTCTCCCGACGGGGCTCCCCCTCCGTGTCCGGCCGAGGGCAGCCCCGGTTACATGGCTCAGCCCCGGGGCGGGGGTGACTCCGGTGACTCCCGTCCCGCCGCTGCCGCGTGCCCTCCCTTCCAGTGCCGCCAGGATGAGGCCTCCCTCACCCTGCTCCTGCTGGTGCCCGGCATCCAGCCCCAGAGCCTCAGCGGGGAGGTGGCCGCCAACCGCTACAGCGTCCGCTTTTTCAGCGGTGCCGTTGCCTATGCCCTCGTCCTGCAGTTCCCAGCCGCCAATAGGCTGGCTGCCCCCGAGACCAGCGTCAGCGTGAGCGCCCACAACGCTGCCATCCTGCTCGCCAAGGCCACGGAGAGCACCGGGCTTTGGGAGAAGTACTGCTTCGGCCTCGACGCCTCCGCTCTGCAGGTAACAGCTTCCAGGGGTTGCTATGCTCTCCCCACATCGCAGCACTGTGTGTGGTATCTCAGGGAGCTCTTGGGTTATCACTTGCAGGGCTGGTAGCAGATGTGACGAAAGACGTAATTAGTCCTGGTATCTTGTGAGCGGAACTGAGGTCGTGCTGTGGAGCTGATAGCTTCGTCCTTGGGGTTGGAATGACTTCTGCCTCCAGAGCTGAGTCTTTTCCTGAAAGAAATGCTGATACGAGTGAGAACGGCCTGGCCTTCACCCTTAACCTTACCCACGTGTGTTTGCCAAGATTGCCAGGCTCACCAGCTGCTTCTCACAGCAACACTGCAAACACAATAGTAACCTGTGGGATGAGGATGTTGAGTAAGATGATCTCCAGAGGTCCCTTTCAACCTCAGCTGTTCTGTAACAACCTCCTGGCTCACACAGCATGTGTATGTGAAGAAAGGAGATGTTGGTCATCCACCAGAGACACGCACGTGTGCGGTTCCTTGAAATGCAGGTGTGAGGGGAGTGTACCCATCCGCCTTTCAGGACAGCATTCTCTCTACAGCTGCAAAACACAGTACTGTAGCCATGGTAGCTGTGAGCAGTCTCCCCCTGTGCTGGTGTGCTTCCCCATCCTCTCATTACAGAGATCTGAGTATGGTTCTCGTGGAGATGTTTTTTCTTCTGAGAGCCATTAGGCAGCAGATGCTCTGTGTGATGGAGGAATACAGCATGTCTGCTGCATCTGGCTGACACCTCGCTGAGGGCCAGCATTCTCCCCAAAAGATGCTCTGTGAAGCAGCACTCACACAAGTTTGGTGGAGAAGTTCTCCATCAGATCCACCCTTCTGTAAGCTTGGTGCCTCATGTAACTTATGTGAGCAAGAGTTAAGGCTGTGTAATTCTTCCTGAACTCTTCAGCCCTCTGACTTTGAGCTTATCTTTGTTTTAGAAAATCAAACACTTTGCACTTTGGATCACAAAGCATGGGAGCACGAGTCTGCAAAACTGGCAAAGTATATCCAAAGGGATGATGGCTTGGAGGGCCTTAATTGCTCAGTCCCTACAGTTAGAGCATACTGCCTGATTCAGAGGGAGATACACTTATCCCATTAGTATCTGTGCAGCTGAAGCTTCCTGTTTATTTCCCCTCTAGCAGGCTACACACCTTCCTGTGAGCTTCTCTGAAGGAGGAGCTGATCAGCTGGGTATCAGAGAGGATGGATTTATTGAGAACCACCTACACTGAACTGCTTACAGTGCATTTCCTCGACTTGTAGCAGAGCAGGAGCCTGCAAGTCTGTACAGTCGGGAGCACAAAGCATTTGGCAGTGGTGCTGGTCGGTGGAAGCAAGTTCTGGGTGCTGATGCAGTGTCAGGTTGCACGCAGGAAGCTGTTGTGCCAATTGCTGCCTGTGTTCTGTATGGGTAAGGAAGGGATGAATGGCAAGTAGAAACGTTCTGACTGCTTTGTCACCTAGTTTGCATCACGTGCCATGATGCATGTCAGTCTGCTTACTCGTTTATAGCAGACAGTTCTAAACATACATCCAGCAATCTTACTCCTGGAGTATCTGATAGCCTGCTGCAGTTCTCCAGGGACGTTAGCAGAAATGATGATGGGGTGAGGATACAGTGGTTTGCAGATGCCACTTTGATCAATGCTCATTCATTAGCATTTTTCGTTTTAAACGGTTTTAGCAAAATCCTACATTGTAAGGGAGCAGAGCACAGCTTTCTGTGACTCTTTGCAGGGTTCTTCGTGAAAATTCATTTTGGGAGCAGGAAATTCTGCTGCAGTGTCTGGTGCTTTGGCTGACGGATGTGTTTGCATGCTTTGATCTCAGCCTTGTGGTTAGGATATTTGATGTGTGTATTCGTTATTACAATGGGGGGGATGTCTTTCTAGGGAAAGGTGTTCAAATGCTACTCAATGGGATTTTGATCAATGCAACCTTTTTTTTTTTTTTTGACAAAACCCCCGTATCTTTAAATGTTCTGAGTTTATGATACATTGCAAAGTGTTTTGGATGGAGGAGTAGTAGGAGGAGCTTTGGAATTAGTCACAGTCCTCCCAACCATTCATTTATGTAGCAGAGTAAAAAAGATGGATTTCTTCTGCGGTGCAGCCCTTTTGGATCCAGGGCAGCAAATTGAAGCAGTTGGAATAATCTGAAGTCATTTGTTCTGTTTGCTTTTTTCTGAACTGTGCTATTTCCCAGAAGTGCCTGTGCCAGCACAGATAGCTGCATTCACTCAGAGTGAAGTGAGAAAAATTAATATTTAATTAGAGCTACTATTATATGCTGTCTTCTGTCCATTAACGATTAGTCTGTGGTAGCTTCTCCTCTACTAATGTTGGTTTCCTCAATTTGTCTGCTGTAATCTCTGTTATTTTTCTCCTTTGGATCTATTCCTGTAAATCAGAGCTACGTTTTCTGCATTGGGATCTGCCAGCAGCTGCATCGGTCACAGAGGAGAGCACTTTAGGGATAAGCTCAGCAGCAGTGCCCTGCTGAATGGCATTAGGTGGCGTTTGGCCTGGGTGAGCTGAATGTTATCCTTTACCTCTTGGTTGTTCTGCTGTCTGCCTGCTTGTAGCCTCTTCTCCCACATAGCAAACAAAGAGCCCAGTGTTCTTCATGGACAGGAAATGCCCATCCTGATATCTTCTAGGAATCTGCTTCTTATGGGAGACGAAGGGCTGGAGCAGGTTCCTTGCTGGGTGAGCACTGCAGAAACGTGCCTGGCTCGCCGCTGGCTGTTCCATTCCCCTGTGATGCTGCCCGTGTAATTGCCTCCCATTAACTCACCAAACAGCCAGCAAAATGCATTGGGATAATTGCTCGCTGCATGAGCAGAATGTATGTCTTCAGAGCCCCATCCCCAGGCTGCGATGTAGCGCAGCACGTTGCTTCATTTTTATCTCCTGTGTGCCTCTGCCCAGATCAACATGCCGATAGCTGCGCCCGTAATTGCACAGCTCTGCCTCGCGTGCTTCTGAACTTCTGTTACCACAATGGCCTCTTTTCTCCTCAGAAATTGGACTGATGCAGATAATGGAAGAAGAATGAGTCGTGCTCCGCTTAGAACAGTGCTCTTGAAACAGAACTTCAAGGACTGGGTTTCCTTTTGTAAAGGCAGAGCCTCTTGAATCGCTGTGCTGAAAGATGGTATATTTAGAGCTTGGTTTCCATAGATGCTGAGCAGTCTGGATTTCCACCCCAGCTAAAGCAAGTGCTTATTTTCAGCAAACCTCTGCAGCACAACAGTCCTCCGCCCCCCCAGACCTCAGATGTGTTGCTGCAAGGACTCCTTCATTTGATAGCTCTTAACGTCACCGATGTTCCCACTTTGCTGCACAATGAATAGCTCTCTGCCAACCCTGAGCCGTACCTCTCTGATCAGCAGTTGCAGCCATTGCTTCTTTTTCTTTCAGAGGAGTCTCACTCCTTGGCCAAACCACAGTGAGCAGAAATCCTATGAAAAATAGAAATTTCATAACGTTGGATTTGGATTTATATTTCGGGGGCTCAGATGTTACTGTTTGTCACAGGCTGTTATGCTCTGCTGCAGACCTCAGCATGTTGATCCCTCTGCCCATCTCTCCCAGTCTGTTTTTCCAGGAGAGAGTGTCTGAATCCTAAGAGCTCACACTGAGGAAACCCACTACACCGGAGAACCCTCCCCCCTTTCTTTTTAAGATAACAGAACCTGTGAAATATGTTATGAAAAAGAATAGCTGAGAGCTAAATACCCATCAGTAACATTTGTGAGCCTGCCAGGCAAGGTTTCTGAGAACAGCGTGTCCTGGAACGTCTCAGTTCACAGCAGAGCTGGAGTTGGGAAATTACTGAAACCATGGCTTTGTAGAGTGCTGTTGTGTCATGTTTGCTCTCCTGTTTGATTCTGAACAGAAATACAAGCCAGGATACTCAGCTGCTCCTCTCTGGCTCGCTGTTGCAGCCCCTTGGCATTTGCATGTACCATTCATTTCCCTTACCTACCATCAGTGCAACCAAAGAAACTTGCTTTTTCACTATTGTGTGATATAGAATCTTTTCTTTGCTTAGGAAAGATGTGTTGTGAGCATCACTTAACACAGGTATCTGAAAGAGAATTGTGCAGTGACACGAAGCTTTGCTTCACTTTTGTGGAAGTACTTATGTCTTCATGGGGAAGTGTTTGATGGGTGTGTTACTGAACACTGTGATATTTTTGCTTGGCCTGGCCACCGGAGCCCAGTGAGACCCTGTCAAAGCTCTTGCTGTTTTTTCCTTTGCTAGGGGCCCTTAGATAATGCTGAAGCACTGTAACCTCTGGTCGCTGCCACGTGTCCAACCTCTGGACTGTGTCCAGGCACTGTGGCTGGGCCTGTTTCCCTGCTCAGCTTTCCTCATGATCAGTGACCTCAGACTTAGGACTCTGGTAGAGAAACAGTCTTGGTTTGAAGGGCAGCCGAGTGTGCAGCCTGCAGAGTTGTTGGAGTGCAAGAAACCTTTGCATTTTGAGGCTCTGATTATCAGGAAGAGCTCAGAGCTGGGGAATGGATGGACTGCTGCAGTGTGTTCCTGCAGGGTGCCAGCACATCCAGCCAGCAGTGCTGGATCACAGCTGTGAGCTTGGATGAAGCCCTGCTGCCTTTACTGCTTTACTGCACCCACGTTTTGCCTTCGGTTCCAAGCTGTTCTGAGCTGTTAGATGTTTTCTTTTAACATCCAATCAGTGTTCCATTTTCAGTCACCAACCTGCTAAAAAGAGTCAGTACCCCTTGGTTAGGGGCACCTCTTAGATGGCATCGTCTTAGAAAATGGTGCCAGAAAATGAGCCTGTCGCATTTAAACTTTATGAAAGTTTGGGTTTGGTTCACTTAATTTTGGGCTCAGCACTTCAGGACCCTTAATGAGGTTTTTGGGAGAGCAGAGGAGGTTGGCAAAGGAGAACAGAATCAAGTCACTGTTGTTTTTTTTCTTCCAAAGTAACCTCTTTCCAAAGGACATTCAGATGATAGTTTGCTTCTGCTGTAAAGCAAACAAATGCCTGATGAACTTTGAATTGGTAGGTTCACTATGGGAATAATGTTCTTACACGGCGTGGTTGTGTCAGGAAACATTCACCTACTGATGAAGCCCAGGGAAGAACTTTTTGAGCTGTTGGATCTTTGCAGTCATTCAAACCTTAACAAAGTTTTCTCCTTGAACCTCCAGTTCAGCACTTCCATTCCCCAGAACCGTGAGTCTCAAGGCCCCATGCAGTGAGACCCTACAAACAGAAGGGTCTGTGGATGCAGATCTGTGCTCCAGGGATCAGTCTCTCCCCACAGAAGATGCACAAATGCCGTAAGCCTGAGGTCTGCCCCTCTTTTAAAACCCTTGCAGCCTGTGTCAGGGCCTGGAGTATGCAGTGCAGAGCAGAGGGCTCAGAGTGCAGCTGTGCGAGGGCATGGCTGAGAGCCACAGGAAAGAGCAAATGCAGTTCTGAGCTGCTACAACAGTATCATAGATAGCAGAAAACAAACAGTTTAAGACGCAATAATTTATTTATAGGGTCACTGAAATCATCTGTGCAGGCTGGTCACTTGCTGCTGCATTTACAGGCCAGAGCAAACAGCTTTTTAAATACATTCCTCAATGACTTCTTGCCAAAGTCTGTGCCTTGATAACATCTGCAGGAGTAGAAATGGCTCGGCATATGCTCACTGTGAACGCAGAGTTTGAATTACAGTTGCTGGTTGTCTGAACACGCTAATGACAGTCATTGTATTGGTAACAAATGGCACTGCTTGTGCCAGCAGCACCTGCTGCTTTGATTTCTGCCTGGCTGCTGGCTTTCAGTCTTTGAGTACTTCCTTGAACTGTAAGTACAGGGCTGTGGAAGAACAGCACAAAGCTGGTACAGGACCTGCAGCAATGAGACAGAATGGTGCAAGCATCAGCACGAGCAGTGGCTTCTTGTCCTCATCTAGATGTTGAGCCTGTTGTGTTGAAGCTTTGCAGAAGTTTCCACTTGTGATGCTCCACTCCTGCACTAAATAGTGAAAATAATAGGGAGCTATTTTATTTTTCCCATACAGATTTTGTTTCTGTTAAGACAACAGTTCAGTGTTGTACCTCAGAAACAGTGCAGCATCTGAGTGTGCATAAGGCTGCATCCATAGGGGGCAAAAATGTGCAGAGCTACCTCTTTGTTGCTCAGGCTGCAAGGTGGTGGTGCTAACTGGATGTAACTTTCGTTGGGCTGATGAGAGGGTATGACAGAGTGAGATGTTTTGGATATGAGCGACAGCAGAAGCCTTGCAACTTATTCCTCCTGTTTCCAACTCAAGTATTCACTGCTGAATGGAAACGTGATTCCCCCAAGCAGCCCTCTGGGTTGAACTGGTTTTGCTGTGCTGAGTGAGGGTTGTCTACCCACAGCCTTAAGCAGATGTCTTTGGAAGAATAGGAGCACCGGGCTCCACCACACTTAGGAAACTGCTCCTCCAGGATGTGTTTTAGGGCTGTTCATTAACTGTGAGTGATTGAAATCTTAAAACCTGTGGCAACGTGTTTGGTGCTGCTGCTGAACCGCAGCTGACACAGCCTCAGGACCTGCCCCAGCCTGTGTGAGCCTTGGGCACCTCTCTGCTTCTTCCAGCCACTCTTGGCTCATGCCTAAGGGGAGACCTGAGGAGCCTTCTCAGGTGAACGTGAAAGGAATACTGTCATGCATGTTTCATGGCTGTGGCTTCAGGAGGTCTGAATGCCTCAGGTGTTTGCATTTTCCCAAAGCAAGAGGCTGAAACAAATCCCTGCATGCTCGAGACCCCCTGATGGTAGGACAGGTGAGGACAGCAGAACCGCATCGCTGCGAATCGTTCCACAGATCTGTATATGAATCGTGGATCCAAAGAGAGAAAGCACGTTGCTTTCCTCTGCACTTGTCATCAACATGAGCTAAATGCTGCTCTGTGTTGGCTTCACTGCATCCCTTCTGAGTGTCCCACGCAGAATCTGTATCCACAAGTGCTGGGACTGCTGCTTTGTGACTCGGGCTCCTGGCGTTGTTCCATGTGGGTTTCTTGCTCCACTACCTCTGAAGTATGGGACAGAATGAACATAAGCTGCTCTTTCTTTTCTTTAGGAGAGGTTGTTTGTCAGTGAAGAAAACGTTGATGGATTCCTACACACTGTTCTGTGCCCCTCCTCGTGCTTGCAGTCGGACCTGGAAGCTCAGATGTTGATTGAAGTGCTCGATGTGTCTGAGGACAGAAGTCAGATCAGGCTGAAGGTAAGGAGCTCTGGCAGCAGTACATGCTGCTGACTGATTTCTGTACGTCAGCCAGAGAGCATCAGCTTGAGTGAAACAGCTCTGTCTTGATGTAGCACAAAAAACCATAGCGTATGGTGTGTTTGTAAGCGTTGGTGTCAGTTTGTAGGAAGAGGTTCATGCTTGTGCCATTTAATGTCACCAAGGGATTGAAACTTCATTATATTTCACTGGGAAGGTGGAGAGCCGTGATGCAATCGTTGAAGACGTTCTTTCATCTTGCAGGAGTACACAGTGGCATCCATGCACTGTCTCTTGCTGATAGAAAAGTGGCCAACTAGTTACCTAGTGTGCCTTCTTTAGAGCAGTCCCACGTGCATCCAGGTGATAGCAACACACTGCAAACTAATCAGGGCAGATGTCTTCGGAACAAAACCAGAACATTCTTAACGTTGAACTAAATAAGTGAATGCTCCACGTTCTTCCTATATACAACAGTTGGGTGGAGCCTGGTAAGCAGAGCTGGGCTTACCCCAGGGACTTGAGGCAGGAGGGAGGGCAGGAAGCTGCTGCTAGTGGCTGACGCGTGAAGGGCTCCTTAGGATGGGCAGAGAGAGTTCTGTTGCTGCCAGTATTTCATGCTCTGCCTTATCACAAGGACAGTGAAAACCTGGAGAATTTTGTTTGTGAAGAATTGGGTCTCAAACTCTTAAAAGTATTTCTTTTGGTCCTTAGCAGAGTGAGACACGGCTCTGGGGTCAGGGAAGCTGTGATGCAGGCAGTGCAGCCCCGTGCCCAGCTGTCCCCTGCCTGCTGGTGGGAGGCTGTGCTACCTGTGGGGATCAGGCAGCAGCAGGTGGCACAGCTCACTGCCTCCTGAGGCAAACAGAGCAATTCCTCTGTTGATGAACTCACTGAGGCCGATGGAGAAAGGCAGCCCACTTGCCAGTCCCTATGTTCTCAAACAGTAAGATGGTCGTTTCCCTCACTGTAAGGTTAAAACCTGCTCCTCGCAATGAGAATTTGGCTCCTTTGGCTGATGTTGTCACCCCTGGGCACGGTGGCTTGCCTTTTTCCACTCTGTTAATTTCATTATAAGCCATGACCGCGTGGAAGCCGCCCAGTAGCATTTCCTACTGCAGAGGAAACCCTGAGGAAGCGAGCAGCCTCCCGGCCCCTCATTCCCACTGCATGGGATCAGGAAAACCTCTGCACCACATTGACTGCTTCCTGGGGGGAGAAACGAGCGTCCCCGCCTGCATTCACAGCAGCACGGGCTGCCTGGTCAGCTTCAATATAAAACAATGAATGTATTTTCTCCCCAGCCACAGGAAGCAGCCTGTTCTGAACGTGATGAAACCAAACAAGCAGTGAGCAGCTCAGGAGACGTTGCTGCGAAGAACGAGGACCACCTCCAAACAGAGCCAGAGCCAGAGCTTACTGCCACTGACACGGCTGAGGAACAGCCTACAGAAAGCCAGCGAGCTGCCACATCTTTTCTAACAGCTGAAACAATAAGAGAAGTGGATGGAAGTTCACAGCATTGTTTGCAGCAGGAACCTTCTGACACCAGTGCAGCACTTCCTGGCAAAGCTGGGGGAAAAGAACGAGCTTTAGATGAGGCATTTGCGGGTCTGGGGCTGGAGGGGGGTCGGGCAGGGGGGGCGGGGAGCCCAGCTGCATCCCCACTCCTGCAGGAGGTGGGTGAGGATGGGAGCGTGCAGAGCATTACAGACCACAGCACACACTGCAGCATCGCCTTCCAGAACTCTGTGCTGTATGAACTGGACTAGCGGGGCCGCGCCAGCATTTCCTCCTCGTTTGACTGTGGTTTATGGCTGCAGGGCTGAAAGCAGAACCGGGTTCTTTCTAAAACTTTAATCTGTCAACGGAGAACACTTAAGCCATTAATACTTTCTGAAGTTAATAGGTCTAAGTTTCCTTTCATCATACGTATGGGTTGAAATAATTTCACTGACAGGAACGATGCAGCTGAAGCTCTGCGCTCCTGGAAGACAGTGCCTCTTTATTGTTTATGTAACTTTCTTAATCTGTTGCCAAATTACACAGAGTAGTTGTATATTCTTCTTCTAATGGCTCCCTCAGGAGCCGCTGTATTTAGTCCACCTAGAAATGAGCAGTGTTCATCATTTGCTCAAACCCTTCATTTTGTGATAACTGCAGGATTAGGCAGCCGCCGAGTTCTAGCAATCAAATGAAATTCCTAATTACACGGAGAAGTTCTAATTAGTCTCCTAGAAATAATTAGCATTTATACCACATATTCTGCCCTAGTACATGTTTTCAGTGATGCAGCATCCAAGCACAGCCCCGTCTGTCAGCTGAACAAACACAACCATGCAATAAAACCATCCTGTCTCGTGAATGTCTGCTCAGTGCAGGCGACTTTTGGAACTGATTCCCTTCATCCAGCTGAGCTGAGATGCGCTGTTGAGAAGCAGCTCTATGAGAGCTGCAGCACGCTGCGGGCTCCTCCTCTCTGAAGTGCAATAACCAGGAGAACAAATCTACAGTAAACTTTCAATTCCCATTCTGACTGCTTCTGCTTCTGATTTTTGAGTTGCACAAGCTGTAGCTCTTCAGAACACACTTAAATGTTTCACAGCGGCTCTGGAATTACCTCCATGTTGCTCTGCATGTGCAGAAGTCCCTAGGGACAGAGGGCCCGGGGGTGGGGGCTGTGCAGGGAAGGTGAGCCCATGGTGTGCAGCTCTGGGGGAGGGATGGGGGGAGCTGACACAGCCTGCACTGCTGTTCTCAGCATCAGCCCTGACTGTGGAACAATGAAATGTAGCAAATACCAAAGCTCATACAAAATCTTGGCACACAAATTACCCATAACAAGAATGCAGTTTATCATGGCACATTCAGAATAAACATTTTGTATTGGACTATTTCACAAAACCTGGCTTGCTCTGGAAAGAACATTTCAGTGACACGCTCACAACCTGAAGTGATGTCAAAGGGGGGAAGAAAGGCAGTGCTGCCTGTGTCCCCGTGTGCTGTTGTCACTGGTTTCCTGACAACACCAGTCCTATTCCATCTGATTAAGAAACAAAGTTGGTTTTTCATATTCCCCCCGCATCCCTCAACGTAAAATCTACCTGTGCTACCTTCAGTAGCAGCTTCATTTGCTAACACCACAAAACCTCTCTGCTGCCAGTGGTGCTGTGCATCACCTTAACACAGACTGACGAGTGCTGGGTGTTAACGAAGGGCTGTGCTGCTTTCACCTCCATTCAGCCCCTTCCATCACCCAGCACTGCTCCCACTTCACACCGCTGACAGCTCCAATGCAAGCTGGGGGGCATCACACAGCTGTTCCTCTATTCTACCTCCATTAGTGCCATTCATTCAAACCACAATGAAGTTCAGTGCAGGCTGATGGACACCGCCCCACATCCCGGCTCCGCAGCAACGCAAGAGGCCATCACCTTTATGGGATAATGAAGAACTCCTCCAGCATTACAAAACAACTGAATTTTATTTTGGCAGAACTAAAAAAATTGTATATATTTATCTACATCGTAGTAAAAACAATGATTTTTTTTTTTTTTTCTTTTTTCCTTCATATATTCACCAACACGCCGCCAACCACCCGGCACAGCACAGCGCCGCGGATGGCAGGGAGGCAACGCGCTGCCCCAGGACACGGTGCAGAAAAAGAAACCAAAGTGTACACAGCGAGCACTGCAAGGATGTGCTTGGAGCAGAGCTCTCTCCTCCTCTTCTTCCTCCTCTTCTTCCTCCTCTTCCAGGTGAGCGCAGCACAGAGCACAACCATCCACGCTGCTCCCGCAGCCCGGCCGCACACAGCGCTGCCGAGCTCCGCACACGAGAGATGAACGTTTTGGGACACCTTTGACATGAATGTTTATTCGTATTAAAGCAGAAACCAACTCATAAATGCTCGTTTTTTGTTTGTTTTTCTCTTTATACACGTGTGTGTCTGTAAAAGACGGGATGGGGCAGTTCAAAAAGGAGAAGGCTGCGAGCGCGGTCCTCACTGGAGGCGGCGGTAACTCTTACAGAGTTCGTGGTCCCGGATGTCCCCCCAGCCTCCGTTCTTGACGTGAGGGGACAGGGGGGCCATGGAGTACCTTTTGCTGACGCTCATGGTCTCGGGGAACAGGTACTGCCGGTTGCTGCTCAACAGAGAGTCGATTTTGGCACTCTGGGAGGACGGCCTGCAGGACTTCTTGTGGTGCATGCCGCAGTCTCCCGTGTGAAACACGCGGGGGATTTCGGGTACCAGCACCTTCCAGAACTTTGGAAGACACGAGACAGTCAAGTGCTGCAGCGTCCAGTCCCAGTTGTAGTCATCGTACGTGCAGAAGGCGTCCGTGCACTCGATGAGCTTCTGGTAGGTGTCTCTGCCGAAGGCCATGCCCATGTTGTGCTCCGTGGACTTCCACGTCTTCACCTCGGCCTTGTCGGCGCGGCCGGCGAAGCCCCCGCGGCCCACGGTGTAGGAGCCCAGCGAGACCACCTGGCACTCGGGGCAGTCGCGCTGCCGCAGCGCCCACAGCCGCTTGAGGACGTGGTAGAAGTCGGGCGCCAGGTAGTGATCCTCCTCCAGGAACACCACGGGCCCGGCGTGCTCCCGCAGCGCCCGCACGCGCTCCCAGACGAAGTGCAGCTTCCACCACCAGTGGTGTTTGGTCTGCGAGAAGCGCGCCTCGCGGTAGTGGCCGAACGAGTCGGGGAACTCGGCGTTCAGGCAGCCCAGGCGCAGCGCCGCCGCCTTGCCCACGTCGCGGGGGCAGTCGCGGGGGTCGTGGCCGGGGAACTCGCGGGGGTACAGCTGGACGCTGAAGGGGAAGAAGACCTGCAGCACCGGGCAGAAGTCCACGCCGGCCGCCAGCCGGTTCAGCTCGTCGGCCCACAGGTCGTGGCTCAGCACCAGCAGCACGTTCTCCACGCCCGCCGCGCGCCGCAGGGACTCGAGCAGAAGCCGCAGGTGCTCGGCGCGGTCGTGCACCTGCACCACCAGCACCACGTCGGGGCCGCCGGGCCGGGCCGGGAAGCGCCCCGCGTTGCGCAGCGGCTGGTCGAAGTTGAGGCGGTAGACGAGCGAGCGGTAGCTCAGCGTGCCGTTCTCCGCGCCGGCGGTCGGGGCGGCGGCGGAGGCCGAGGCCGAGGCGTTGCCGGCGCCGGCGGGGCGGCGCGGCGCTTCGCTGACCCGCGGCGGCTCTCCGGTGCCGCCCCGCTGCTGCGGCTGCTGCTGCCTCCGCCGCCCGCCCGTCCCCCCGCCGCCCCACAGCACCAGCGCGCAGGCCGCCAGCGCCAGCGCCAGCAGCAGCACCTTCCGCTTGTAGATCCGCAGCCTCATCCTCCCGCCGCCGGCGGCCGCGCTGCCGCCGGCGCCGCCGCTCCCGCTCCCCGCTCCGCGCGTGTGCGCGCCGCCGCCGCCCCACGCTCACACGTCGCCGCCCGCCATAGGGCGCCCGCGTCCAACGCCGCCGCGTCCTCATTGGCCGCCGGCGACGCCATTTGGAGAGGGGCTTCCGGCGGGGCGGAGCCGCGCGTGTGTCCGTGCGTCCGTCCGTGTGTCTGTCGGCGTCCGTGCGCCCGGGGAGATGAGGGAGCGCCGTCCGTGGAGCCGCTCCGGGTCTGCGGCACCGAGGTGGATCCGAACGAGAGGTCTTTCCCAGCCGTGACGACGGGATGACGCACCGCACACACAGAGCAGTTTCAGCGTTTAATAACACAGAACGGTACAGGAACGCTTAAAACATCGGAGCGAAGAAACCCGTACACAGCGGAGTGAAGAACTCCGGGCTCTCTCTGACATCGCCGCTACACACCAGGAACCCCCAGCGCGGGATTCAATCTGCACAACGCCCAAGGAAACAAAGCACAGCTCGCGTGTTTAGAAAAGGTGTTTCTATTACAAAGAGATACAAATAGTTCAGTAAAAAAAAAACAAAAACAACAAAGGCCCCTTCTTGAAGCACAGACAATAAGAGAACCCAACTGGAGTAGATTCTCAACGAGCATTTCTGGCTCCTGGCAGAGGCTCCAGCAGCAGTTGGGCACTGTGTTCCCTCCATCCCCTTCCAGCAGCTCCTCTGCAGCTGTGTCAGTGGTCGGCGCTGCTCTGCAGGTACCTGTCCAGGAACTGGGAATAGCAGCCCAGAGAACAGAAGTAGCAGATGATGGGAGCCTCCGTGCCGCCCATGTTGTCCACCAGGACCACGGTGTGAGCCACGTGGTGCAGGTTCATGGTCACCGTCAGCTGAATGAAGCTGCTCAGGCAGGCGCTCCCGCACTGGCAGGTCTTGGCCACTTCCAGATCTTTGCAAAGGTGGGAAGGCAGCAGCTGACAACTGTACGGGATTCTGTTGGACAAGAGCAGGGGGTGAAATCAATCAGTGTCACTCAAACACAGCGATGCTGCTGTCGGTGCTAAACTGAGACCATCCCCAGCACAAAGCTGAGATGTGGCCGCTTTCTGAGAGCCACACATATCACACAGCTGTGTTTCTGACCCCAAGTCCCAAGGATTTGGCCTCCAGAAAACACTGCACCGAGAAGCAGGGATTCCCACAACTCACAGCAGCCTGAATCACAGTGGCAGGGAATTAAGAGAAGATGGATGTGAGAAGATGAAGCAAAAACGCACCCACAGTAAATGCTTGCCCTGCCCTCTCGTTAGCCAGGCAGGTCACCCAGCTCAGCCAGGTAGCCACGAGGCTGCTGTCATTCTGCCATGAGGAAGCAGCACCCCAAACCTGCAGGGTGCACAGAGCAGTGAGCCCTCTATGCTGCTCATGAGAAATTAAGGCTCTCTTGTTAAAGTGTTTTTGTCACTGCCACAACAGAATCACTTCAGTTTAAACTCGCAGCAGAGTGACACTGCTTTTGGGGCACAAAACAAGAGTTCTTGTGTGCTGTGTTAACTTCCAGGTGTGTGGAAGCCACCAGCTGTCATGCAGGACTGGCAGAGTAAGTCTGACTCACATCACTACACCTACGTGTCCCATTCTTTCAGTGTGTCATCATTCACATAGCTCAGGTTCCTGTGGTTTTTGTCACCAGCTCAATTTCAGGACATCCTTTTTTCCGGTCAGGACAAACACAATCACAGCTCTGGTGCTTGCCCAGAATGCCACTATGAAGATTGATTTCCAAGTGTTTGCTTTTGTGTCTTGTTTTCTTCTCTCTCAAGGTTTTCGCAGCTTATTGTCACTCCTGTTTCTTCCTCTGTTAATTCTCACACCCAGTGAGTGTCACACAGAATGCCTGTTGCCTACCTGCTACTTTTTTTTGGGGGGGGAGAGGGTTGGGTGTGAAGATAATCACACTTAGCAAATCCATTCCACGTAAGAAAGCCCTGCACACAGTGCCCCACGGCGTTCCCTCCCTCAGTGCTGCTGCAGCAGTCACAGCACACTGCCAGAGGTGCTCCTACAGATCTGTGAGCAGCTGTTGATTCCACTGCCCCCACCTTCCCCAGCCTCACTGGGGAAAGCAAACACTGCAAGCTCACAGTGATTTATGTAAGGTCAGAAGTGGGCAAGGTTTGAAACTGAACGCTTGGCTGCTCATCTCATCTGCAGGGTGTGCCCTGTGTGCCTGCAAACACCTGGAGCACGGACTGCTGAGCAATCAGGCCAGGATTGCTGGGCTCTCCCCACCCCAAGGCAGGAACGGGCACACCAAGCAGGTTAGGAAAACCTCAGGTCTTTATCTCACCACCTGTCTGTACCTGTGACTCTCTTCCACTGTCTTGCTGCCTTTCCACCCAGAAGAGCAGAGTGGGGATGGCAACAGATGGTACCACAGGCAGAGGTACACAGTGAGAGCTCTAAGTGGTGTGAGGGCAGGGGAGAGGAGAAGACAACAACAAATCCAGCAGCCTGGCCAGCAGGGCAATGAGTTACTGGAATGCCTCTTTCTAACACTGCTCAGCTTCTGCACGGTGCCATGCAAAGCAGCTTGACCTCAATGCTGTGTGGCACAGGGTAATGTTCTGCCAATGCTGTTCTCACGTGGGAAGGGACAGCTACGGGCTGGATTTTCCCATGTGGTTTTAGCATAGTTTAATATGAGCACAAGATGAAGGGCAAGCATATTTGAAAGCAATTTCCAAGCCAGAGCCCAACAGAAAACATGACCTGAGCCATAAAATCTGCTGTAACACAAGCTCCTACATACAAAGAGCTGGAAGCATTTCAGGATTATAGAGCTGAATCTTTTCCTATGGTTAGGCAAGAATATTCTGTTATGGTGCCCTCATCCTGTGGATACAACTCATTTCAACCTACAGCGTTCTCTAAATGCTTCCAAGTTCCCAATTTACTGCTGGAACCTGTGGTATCCTGGATAATAATGGCATTAATTTACGAGCAGAATTCAAAGCAACTTGAGCATCGTGAAGAGCAGCTCCCACTAATGGGAAAAAACCAAACCAGGGAAGCTGAGTGGGTTTGAGACAGAGGTGAAATGTGTGCCCATCGTGCTACCCTTACCTGTAATTTACAGTAGCTCTTGCAGCACACTCTAATAAAGTCAATGGTATTTTCAACTGTATGTTGGGAAGAAGGGGATTGGGCTGTTCAAAAGGATTTCCAAAGAGATCCAAGTTCTCAAGACAGAGTTTCCTAAAATCGCTGGGCAGGAAGGGCAGTTTGTTTCGAGCTGCTGACAGAAAACGCAGATGATCCAACTGGCCAATCTTGAATGGCAACCTGATCAACTCATTGTCATCCAGCTTTAAATTAACAAGTTCTCGCAGCTGGCAGAACTGAATTGGGAGCGCTTTAATTTTGTTCTGGCTGAGGTCCAAGCACTGGAGAGATTTCTGAAGGGTAGAGCTGCACAGAGCACTGCTGAAGGACTCCAGGTGATTGTCGTGCAGGTTCAGCTCCTGAAGGAAGACCAACTCACCGATGGTGGCCGGCA